AAAACCCATTTTTGGAGGTATTTTCAAATCGGTCCAGCTCACTTAAATCTTAATCTTTTTCCGAAATATTTTGGTGGACGGCTTAAAATATAATAGATTTTATAATTCCAATGGAAAAATAGTACCGATTTTTTTTTGTATGGGGAGTGATGCAGTCTAATGTACATATATGTATGCATGTACATTGGGGCGGGTTAATTTTGTTTACTATGCGTGTATAGCATAGGAAGATTCTACGTGTAACTCTAAGCAAATTTGCCGAAGGAATCGTAGGTCTAAGATCAATTTTGGGTTTGCCAAATTGCGAAAATAGGTATCGAAGAAAATGTGAAAATTTTCACGGTGGCGCCTTCTGGTGGAAGTTTTAAGAAAAAATTAAGTTAAAAATATGATTTATACAAAATTTATGCACTTCTTTACGACACTACAACAAAATGCTAAGAAACCTATTTTAGCAATTTGGCAAACTCCAAAATGATTTTGGACTTATGGTTTCTTCGGCAAATTTGCTTAGAATTACACGTAGAATCCTTCTGTGCTATACACGCATAGTAGAATAAATGTCCAAGACAAATTGACCCTCCCTAATATACATATACATACAAATGTATAAAAAACAATAAAATACTGCAATGCAAGCGATACAATAAATAATAATTTGTGCGTATGTACATACGTATGTAAGTATATGTACATTTGTACATACTTATACATAGATAATCTACTGAACTATGCTTAAGTTGTGCTGCCCGGCGGCTTGGAAATATTAGTTTAGTCGCGCTATCACGGCATTCACTTGCATACGATTCGGTTAAAGCAAAATGCTACTCCGAGTGAAAAGATATCCGCCATTTTTGTGTGTGCACTTTACTTTAGTCCTTGTGTTATCCTTGTGCACTGCACAACGCTGGCCATATGATGATTACGATATTCAAGGTGGCGAAGTTGAAACAGAAAACGAGCCTTCTAAAAACATAGGTTCATATAATCTGCCAGATGGGTCTCTGGTTCAGCCTATGCCCAGGCTTGGGTCTTTACCGGTGCAATCGGATGAATTAATCGTACCGGGCTTGGGTGTAGTTCGTGGTAAAACAGGATACAAACTCATTAAAGGAAGACCAATAAATTCGTACCTTGGAGTGAAATATGGAGTTGTCCGTCCCGGTTTGGGACGCTTTCAAGTAAGTGAATGTTTTTAACTTCATGTACCATTAAATATATATACATACCATCAGATTCAAAATTTTAAACCTCCAAATATACAAAATACGTCGGTAACAAAAGCCATAATCCCTTTTTGATACACTAAGACACAGGGTACTAAATATGGGAAATTTTACCAATTTTGGGGCAAAAATTAATTATAGCTAAACAAGTAGGTAAATGATTTAAAAAACATGAGTTTTTTTTTAATAACGGGCGTATAATATGCCACATTATTGCAGAAAAAACAAATGTTAACCCTTGAAGACTGAAGGTTTTAAGAGGGCCACTTCTTAATTTGGGGTTTTATGCCGGTTTTTTATAATCGCGTAATATAACCTGAGGGGCTTGAATTTCCTAATATGCATACTGAAAATATAAAAGCAGCAACCTTTGGAGGAACAAAGCTATAAACGTCCTTTTGTTCATTTTACTGAGTTCTAAAGTGCAAACGGTAAATATGTAGTCCACTACTGACAGTATCAAGATTACCTACAAGAAAAGCTGTTTTCTCAGAAATCTCATAAATCATAACTTCATATTTGGCAGAAAAACTCAAAATAGACATGTTTTTTTACGTATACGTACGGCATTGGTCACATCAGCTCAGTAACTGTTCCGATTGCACCTTCTGAACGCATATTTGGCAGAAAAACTCAAAATAGACATGTTTTTTTCCGTATACGTACGGCATTGGTCATATCAGCTCAGTAACTATTCCGATTGCACCTTCTGAACGCGTTGTTGCGTACTTCTGACAACTCAGCAGTTGATTTTTTAGAAGATGGTAATATTTTTCTAATCATTTGAGACAACATGTTTGTGTACATTCGACAATTGAATTTGACAGCTTATGTATCAAGACTTTCAGAAGACGCATAACAACAAACTCAATAGAATTCTAGATCTCATTTTTGTCACAATTCGTTATCACCTACGGATAAGCATCATATTTCCTTGGTACTTAAATTAAATGCTTATGAATTCAATACAAGCGTTCAAGAGGAAAAACTAGCATTTAACTATAATAAATGTGATTTTTCTCGGGTTGATAACTCTTTAATTGAAGTTGACTGGGAAAAATTGTTCATAAGTTCAGACGTTGCCCAATGTTTTTCTATTTTTAAATCACAAGTGCTTGAGATCTGTCGCCTATATATCCCTTTAATTAAAAAAAGGCAGTACAAGCTTCCGTGGTACACACGTGAGCTAAAAAGTCTTAAAAATAAGCGTAATAAATTCTTTAGAAGCTTAAAAAACACAACAAAGAGGATGCTTATGCAATGTATCAACATTACTCAAAAAAGTTCGATTGTTTGAATAAATTTCTATATAAGAATTATATTTTAAGTGTAGAATGCAGTATTAAATCTAGGGTTGCCAGATTTTGAAACGGAGAAAGGAGTACATTTATATTTTCGATAGGAAAAAAGCAGTACATGACATAAGAAAGGTGTACAATTTTTTTTTAATTTTTTGTGCAATTTATTGTTACAAATTACCATTAATTAGGTACAAACAAACAAAGATATCTTAAAACACTTTTTCAAAGCAACAATAAATGTGAACAAGTAATTTTTACCAAAAAAAAAAACCGACTTCAACTCTCATATAAAAATAAAATATATATATATATATATATCTCATGATCCGCTGATCGGATCTGAACCAGATTAGTATGGGACCACCTCTGAGACACTACCTTTCCGATGCAAAAAGAATTATCGAAATTCGTACGTAGTCCAAAGTTATTCGGTAACATACAAAAAAAAAAAAA